CAATTTTCATAAATCTACAACTGTTCCTTGACAGGGAGATGCTTGAGCTGGGATGCATACCTCACCTGCTGTGACCCTGGCTTTACTCGCTAGTGCCAAATGTTCTCGCAAGCACGAGCACCACCTGAGCACCACCATGTGTGGCCCCTAGCTCCCAAAAAACTAAAGATGGAAAAGAAACATGCTGGGTACCCCCTCCACAACCATGCACATCAGCTGTGCGACCCCAAAGCCAAAGTGTAGGGTCTGTCCAGTGAACCTCCCAGAGGAACTCAACTGGAGGACAGACACGGACTTTGGGGCCTGTGGAGTGGAGATGTGCTCAGCAGAAATAGAGATACAGAGCACTGATGGGGTAAGGGAAGAAGCAACAGGCCCCATATCTACACCCCCACCTTGCAAATCTCCACATCACCTGACAGGGAGGCTAGACCATGGCTGGCAATTACAATTACATTTTCCCTCCCAGTCATGGAAACAACTTTCAATCATTCAAGTTCAAGGAAGAGCAATGGTGAGCCCTTTCCAGATGAGCACAAAGCTGCCTCTTCCCCAGTGGCATCTGGCTGAGGGAAAATGTGATCCAAGAGTCAGAAAGGAGACCTCCAAAGAAGTTTTGCTGTGTGTGAAAGCCTGAAATTAAAAATGGAAAACAGTCACTTTGAGGCACCAGGAACTATGAACCCCAGGGGGCAGTACTGGTCTGTACTGCTAATGTCCAACCACTGTCAGGAGCCACAAAAACTCAGCCCCACATGCTCTGCCTGGAGTTGGTGAACATGCTGTCCAGGCCTACACAAAATTAGACTCTCACCCTTAGCCCGCACAGTGCACCAGAGTCTTATACATTGACCATGAAGTTCACTTGCCTTGAATTTAAGAATAGGCTCAAAAAGAAGAAAGGGGGAAAAAAGAGAGAGAAAGAAAAAGATAGGAAGGAAGGGAAGAAATAAAGGGGAAAAAAAGAAAAGAGAAAGAAAGAAAGAAAGAAAGAAAGAAAGAAAGAAAGAATATCAAGTATTTTCTCAGACCACACCTCTTTGAAAGTAGAAATAAACCATGAAGCAGTAACATGGGAAAAACTCAAATACATTGGAACTAAACAACTTACTACTGACCAACCAGTAGGACAAACAGGTTATGAAAGAAAAAAAAAATCCTAGAAACAAGAATTAAGACATGAGTTATCAAAACAAATAAGAAAAAACAAAAACTAATAGCAATGCCAGCTTTTATTGGTGAGCAAAATAAGGCTCAGATAAATAATCTAACATCCCAAGAAACTAGAGAAATATCTTCAAAGGAAGCACAAAGTAAATAGAAGGAAGGAAATAATAAAATTTCGAATGGAAACCAATTTGATATAGAAACTAAACAACAAAAGAGCAATGAAACCAAATGCTGTTTTTAAATAATGAAACAAGAATAAACAGAGACAGGAAAAATTGTATAGCAGGTGAGATGTTTGCCTTGCATGCAGCAAACCAGGGTTCAATGCTCAGTACCACATATGGTCCCTGAGCACCATCAAGAGTGACCCCTAAGCACAGAGCCAGGAGTAAGACCTGAGCACAGCTGGTGTGGTCCTCCCAAAATAGAATCACTATCACTGTCCTCCTGTTGTTCATCAATTTACTCGAGCAGGCCCAGTAACATTGTGAGACTTGTTGTTACTGTATTTGGCATATTGAATACGTCACAGGGAGCTTGTCAGGCTTTGCTGTGCAGGTGAGTTACTCTTGGTAGCTTGCCAGGCTCTCCGAGAGGGGCGGAAGAATCAAACTCGGGTCAGAACGGTTGGCCGCGTGCAAGGCAAACACCCTACCTGCTAGAATAAGGTCAACAAATCTTTAGATTAATGAAGAAAATAAGAGAAAACTGAGTCAGAATAAACTGGGTTAGAAATGAAAGGGGCAATTACAACAGATATACAAAAATGCAAAAACCAGGGCCAAAAAAAATAGTAGAGTGGGTAAGGAGCTTGCCTGCATTTGGCTGACCTGGGCTCAATCCTTCGTACTCCATATGGTCCCCTGAACCCCACCAGGAGTGATCTCTGAGCACAGAGCCAGGAGAAAGGCCTAAGCATAGCTAAGTGTGCCACAAAAACAAGAGAGAGAAATACAAAATGTCACACAAGAATATTATGAACAAGTTAATGTCACAAAGTTGGAGAACCTAAAAGAAGTGAATAAATGTTTATAATCCTAAAACTTCCGGAGTCAATCAAGAGAAAGTAGTAAATCTGAACAGACCAGTATTATATTGCAACAGTAATCAAAAGTCCCTCCCCCCTCCCCCCCTCCTATCATCTACTGCCCCCACCACTCCAAATAAAAACTTATGTCCAGGTGAGTTCATTAGTGAGTTCTCACAAACCTTCAAACATCTACTTCCTATTCTCAAGCTCTTCCAGAAATTCAAAGAAACAGGAATTCTTTCAGTTTCTATGATACCAGAAGTAGACAGATATCACTAAGAAAATTACATATCAACCAACATCCCTGATAAACATACATTCAAAGATCCTGAACAAAATCTTAGCAAACGGAATTCAATAATACATTAAAAGTATTATAAATCATGGTCAAGTTGGATTTATTCAAAAGATGCAAAGATGGTTCAATATATGCAAGATATACTACATTGGCAAAAGAAAAGATAAGCATCATGGGTTCATGTTAACAAGTGCAGAGAAAGCATTTTTTTAAGTCTAAAAGTATGGGTACCGAACTGCCCCAAACTAGTAAAGGCCATACATCACAAATCCACAGTTAATATCACAGTCAATTGTAAAAAACTGAAAAATCTTTCCTTTAAGATGAGGCACAAGACAAAAATACCTATTCACATGACTAGTATTCACTATAATATCACAAGTCTTACCCACAGTAATTTGACAAGAAAGAGAAAGTAACTAAAGGGATATGGATTGGGGGGAAAAAAGTCAAACTCACTATTTTCAGATGACATGATATTGTATGTAAAAAAATTCTAAAGATTCTCTCAAAATACTCCTAGAAACAGAAGACGTGGTAAAATGACAGGATACAAAATCAATAATAAAATCTTAAATTTTTATATCCAAACTATGAGGTAGGAAAAAAAGACATTTTAAAAATCCCCCTGCTCTGTTGATCCTGCCTTAGGGGTTGCTTCCATGGGGAATTGTCTAGTCCCTTTCTTTGTTTGTTTATACTCAGCATATGAGTGAGATCATCTGCTATTTATCTGCTTCTTTTTTTTAACTTTCTGACTCACTTCACTTAGCGACATCCTCCAATTAACTAGTGGAAGAATTCCTTAGTTTGTGGCCTCACCTTGGAGCTAGAAAAAAATCTGAATAGAACCTCCAGGACCAGCAGCCACCACCATGCTGAGACCACTCTCCGCACACATGAAGGTACTGGCAGAGGGACAAAGCCACGCGGGTTCCGGGGCCGAGACCTCCAAGCCTACTCGAATTGGAGTCGAGCATCTTCCACCCAGATCCTCCAAATTCCAGTAGGCGGGGGTCACACCCACCACCTGGCCCCCTGGTGCCGTGTAATCCCATCAGCGGCCAAGACTCAGAGACTATAAAATCCAGATCCCGGAACCGCGCGGCCGCATTTGCGGCCGCGTGACATCTTATCAGAACTTTTTTTTTTTATGACATCTTATTGTCTTATTCCTACTTTGGACAAACTTGCAGGCTATCGAATGTAGCCTGCCCACAGGGCAGAGTCTGGCAAACTCCCCGTGGCGTACCAAATATGCCAAATACCAGTAACAATGATGGGTCTCATTCTCCTAAATAGCCTTGAATATAATCTCAGGGCTAGGATGAAAGAGACGTTACTGGGGCCTGCTCGAGGCAATCGACGAATAACAGGATGATGAAATGAAATGAAAAAAAAAAAAGAATCTCTGGTGATGTCCTAGGACAAAAGCAACAATAGGTTTCATAATATCTCTTTCAATGGCTCATGATAAAAGCTATGGAAATGATGACAAAACACAGCCCAGAGAGTGCAGTTCTCTTGAGGAAAAGCACACGGCCCCTTGCAAGCCTCTTTCTGAATACTCAGCAAGACCCAGAGGGGATTCCTAGAACATGCAGCAAACTGGAGTAAACTGAGACTTTTTTTGTTGTTGTTGTTGTTTTGGTTTGTTTGTTTGTTTGCTTTTTGGGTCACACCCAGCGATGCTCAGGGTTACTCCTGGCTCTGCACTCAGGAATTACGCCTGGCGTTGCTCAGGAGACCATATGGGATGCTGGGAATCGAACCCGGGTTGGCCGCATGCAAGGCAAATGCCCTACCCGCTGTGCTATTGCTCCAGCCCCTAAACTGAGACTTTTGGAAAAGTTCACCATTGTTGGAATATTGTATGACAGACCCTACCACGAACAACTTTATAACTGAAAAATAATAAAGATAATTGGATTTAAAAGTTCACCATAATATTTTATGAGTTCAGTATTGTAGAGGTGTTTTCTCCCTGGAACACAGGTGCTGAGTGTTGCTAATTAAACACACAATGCTTAATTATGGAAATGAGGCAGTTGATTCCAAACTGATCCTTGCTGGCAAAAAATAAGAGCGGAAAATGAAAGTCTACACTGGTACCATTGTTCAGTTTTTTTGCTCATCTGCATCCATCTTTTCACTTGCTGGTAGAGCAGAAGAGAAAGGAAGTCGCTGTTATGGGTGATAATAGAACTGATGTGAGCAAACACTTTGGGTACCAACCACTAGGTTTGTCCCTTCACACTCTGAAAATCCTTGTTAGATTCCTGGATACTGGCATTTTAAATTAAAACAGAGTATAACAGATAAAAAGCCGGTCCTTGAATCATGTTTCCTTTTGTGTCAGTAGGAGTTCTATCATGTTGTAACGTTTTGAGGAAATGACTTTAGATGGGATGACAGAGTTTGAAGACCTGCTGTAGTAAGGCTCTCAAGGCCCCCACGAGGGCCTGTGAATGGGGAATCAGGCTTGCTCTCAAACGTACTCACACAGAGGGCCTCGAAGAGCTGAAAGACAGTGTAAATCGGCAGTGCCTGCTCCACCAAGCTGATGACTTCTCTGCAGAAGAAAAGGGGAGAATTTGGCACTGAAGACAAGACCACATTCATTTTTTTTCCTTTTTTTTTTTTAGTTTTTATTAGTGAGACATCATGAGGTGCAGTTGTAGACTTACAAATTTTTGTGCTTGGGTTTCAATTATACAATGATCAAATACCCATCCCTCCACCAGTGCCCATTTCCCACCACCACGGATCCCACTATCCCTCCCACCCCCCACCCCCCCATCCCACCCTGCCTCTGTGGCAGGGCCTTCCCTTTTGTTCTCTCTCTCTTATTGGGTATTGTGGTTTGCAAAAGAGCAATGGGTGACAATCATGTTTGGATTATATTCTACTTTAAGCATGCTTCTCGCATCCTGGGAGGATCCTCCCAACACCCTTTATTTGGTGTTCCCTTCTCTATGTGAGCTCCCTTTTCCCCTAGCATGTGCAAGACCACATTCTTAGAGTTCCATTTTCATGCCTTCTAGTGCAGGCCTTCCTGACATTTTTTTGAGTAACCAAACATAATTCACCCTTAGAGTCTAGTATGTCTATGTCTGTCATCCCTGTGTCCAGGTCTTCTCTCTCGTTGTCTCTTCTGTCTGTGTCTCAGTCAGTGTCCATGTCCATGTCTCTGTGTCTCTCTGTGTCCATGTCCGTGTCCCTCTCTGTCTCTCTTTGTCTGTGTCTGTCTGTCTCTGTCTCTGCATCCGTACCCATGCCCGTGCTCATATCTGTCTCTATTTTTGTCTATGTCTATTCCCATCTCTGTTTATATCCATGTCTCTGTCTCTGTCTCTCTGCCTATGTCCTTGGCTCTGGGTCGTATCTGAGACTTCAGCAGAGCCACTATTGCTCCCTTGCCCTTTGAATTTATCTGTGGATGAGCAAGTGATGGAGGTCACGCCGCAGAGTGTAGAGGCTGATTTCCACTTAGTGAAAAAGAAGTTGAGGCAGTTTTCACTCTTCTAAACCCAGTACCAAGCCCAGCACGTGCCTCAGGCCCATGGGGAGCCACTCTGACATTTCCCAGAGACCAGTCAAGACAACTAATCACCTACTCATCATTGGTGAAAATGTACCCCAGTTTGCTTCTCAGGACGCTCAGCAGGACTCCCACCACCAGCGAGGTGCCAACTGGAAGAGATAAGTGGCGGACTCTAGCCATGGGAGAGCCCCGCCCCAGCCACCCCCAGCCAGTCCCTCTCTAGGAGCTGAACCCCCCTTTCCCCAATCCATATGCAGCCTCTCAGGAAGGAGACTGCATTCCTCTGTCAGTTTTCAGAGTGGGTTCCCTGCAGCAGCCTCAGTGTTACTGCATCACTTCAAGATGCGGATTCTCAGGCTCCTCTGATGGCAGGCAACTGCAGCATGAGGTGGGGACTCTGGCCAGTGGGAAACCAGGGGTGTCTCTGCACAAGGAGCAGGACACTGGCCCTGCCTCAGCCTTGGGACAGATTGACCCAACCCAGAGAGGCTCTGAAGGCTGCAGGGAGCAGCCTGCAGGGGCCCCTGGAGGGACAAGGACGATGCACTTTTGCAGGGTCCCCTTCGGGACAGATATGGCATGTCCAGCTCTCCCAGAAGAGCAAGCATGCCAGCAGGAGGTGTCAGGAAGGCAGAGGTGACCATAGAGAGGTGCTGCCCATGGGCTGCCATCAGTACTCCAGCAGGGCTGGCATGACTAGAAGCAGTTTGGAAAGGTCACCCTGGGTGGCCAGCCGGGTTCCCCTGGGGCCTGAACTGTGATTACCCGTTTCAGTTCCTGGGGACGCGTGACCCACCTGTGCAGAGGACCCCCGACACAGCTGAGCGCTTGGCCTGCACGGTGTCTGCAGCTCCCAGGGCAGTGCCCACTCGCACACAGACGGCGATGCTGAGCCCCATAGGGACCTGGGTGAGGAACGAGAGGGCACCGAGGTAGAGTCGCTGAAGTGCAGATGGGGTCAGGAGCCAGGAGGGGAGGTGTGGGGTCGCCCTTGCCACCAGGAGGGACTGAGCAGGAAAGTGGGGCCTGGGGAGGCAGCAGGAGCAGCAATGACCCTTTTGGCAGCCGAAGTGGGCAGTGACGCCTGAGGTACTGATTGCCCACACCCCCAGCCCTGAGCCTCTGGGGCCAACTCTCCTTCAAGGGGAGCCAGTGTGGAACAAGAAAGCATGAGTACACGCCTCTGAAGGAGGGAGTATGGCCTAAGGAGGCCGGAAAAACCTCTGTAAGGAAAATAAAGTCAATGGAAGGCATTTGCAAAAATAAGAGTAGGACCAGAGACATAGTCCAGTGGGTTGGGGCTTGCTTGCAGGTGGCCAATCTGGTCTCTACCACATATGGTCCCCAAGCCCACCAGAAATAATCCCTGAGTACAGAGCCAGAAGTAAGCCCCAAGCCCTGAGGTGTGGCCCAACGCCCCTCCCCACAAAGAATCATGTTTCCTGGGGTTTCCTGGGGATTGGGGGAGACCTTCCAATCAGGGTTAAGGAGGCCTTAAGGGATCCCTCCTGGTGATGCTCAGCCAGCCAGGCTGGACGGTCTACTGCACAGGTCCTAGGGTGCTGGTACTGCCAGGGCTTCCCTAGCAGTGCTCAGGGTCCATGCAGTGCTGGGTCACCCTGGGCACCCACTTATGCAGAGCACCTCCTGACCTTACGCTACCAGCCGGCCCTGGAAGTGTGGGTTTTCCTGAGTCCTTTACTTGAAACGGGAGTCATGGACTAAATGTCCCCAGGAGGTTTGCCAATGTACACACGCGTGGCCCCTACAGTTTGTGTTCCTCTGGAGATAGGGAGGGGGATCTGCAGAGGCCACGTGGAGAGGACACTGTCCTTTGAGGAGTGCAGAATGTGGAATGTCCCTCTTCTCAAGAAAATGCAAAACTCCAGATAATGATGTAAACTCTCCCAATTTTGAAGTGTAGCTAATTAAAAAAATAATTCTAACATTCATATGTGTTCATTACTGCCTGTGGGACAGTGTCTGTGACCCCTGTGTGTGGCACTGAGGGGCTTGGGAGGTCAGGAGGGCCCCCAGTACTCAGTGCTGGCCTCAGGAGGACAGATAATCTGTCCCTCAGGCCGTGGAGGGTGGGCTGGGTTGCAGAGACTCACCATGTAGATAACTGTGGACACCTCATATATGATGGCCTGAGCAGAGAGGTCCAGGATGCTGAGCAGACCTATGAGAGAGTGGGGTGGGGGGTGAGCCCTGCAGCTTCCAGGACAGGACTAGGAATTCCTAAGGACAGATTTTTCCCAAACAAGAATGCACCTGCTAGGGACTAGAGCTATGATAACCCAAAGGGCTCAAGCAAAGCGTGTCTGATCCTGAGCCCTACCAGGAGTGACCACCCCACATCCCCAGACCTGCTTCTGGGATCTCACAGCCTGGTGGAGACAGGGGCAAGCCCCAGACCCACTGGGGGAGCCATCCCTGCGTGGCCCCACGTACCCGTGAGGAAGCTCCCGATCTCGTAGGCCCACCACTCGACGCACATCATGAGCATGCTGGGGATGGCCAGTGAGAAGAAGGGGCCCCAGTCCTGCAGGCACTGACTGGACCAGCCTAGGGGACCCCAGGAGTGAGCGCAGTCTCCCCACATGCCCCACTCGCTGCCGGCTCAGCGCAGGCAGCCCTGGGGACTCGCAGGGCACCCAGCTGTTTGAGCACTGGGGCACGCGGCGGGGGAGCCGAGGGGAACTGGCCTCCCCTGCCCTCTAGGCCAAGTGCTCTCAGGCCAGCTTCGATCTGGGTCTGCCCTGCCTTTAGGGCAGGGGACAGCATGAGGCTGAGCCTGCCTGTCTGCACGTTCAGGGGCTGAGGAGGGGGCCGTCACGCAGGACTCTATGACCCCCCCAAAATGAGACCCTGGGGCAGAGCGCGGCTCCTCCAAGTGCCGGGAAGAGGAGGCTGAGACCTCCAGAGTCAGCTCCGGAGGCCCAAAATCTCAAACCCGAGGTTTGGGATCAGACAGGCACGGGTTCCAGCCCAGCCCTCCCTCTCCCCCAACGATGATTTCTGCCATTTAGGGACAAATTATTCAATTTCTCTCTGCCTCAATTTCCTTGTGAATTAGGAACCTTGGGAATCCTGGTGGGGCGCTGCGGGTAAGATCAAAGGCAAAGGGAGGGCTGGGAAGGGCAGGGAGGAAGGGCAGGGCAGGGCAGGGAAGGGAAGGGAAGGGCAGGGAGGAAGGGCAGGGCAGGGAAGGGCAGGGAGGAAGGGCAGGGCAGGGAGCCTGGGCAGGCTGCTCGCTGGGTGCCCCACGCTCTGCCTATGTACAAGATGGCCTTCTGCACCTGCCCATGTTTCCAGGTACAGCTTCTTAAGCACAATGTAGAGAAAGAGGACGGTCATCTGCACAAACTGAGAGATGGTGTTGGCGTAGGCAGAACCCCTGGAGAGGAGAGAGCAGTGTGGGGCCAGCAGGGGGCACTGCACCGAGAAGTCCACACTCACGTCCCAAATCAGACCTTCCAGGAATAAGAGGCCACCCGCCAAGTGCCCAGTCTGGGGTTCTTCTGGAGGACAGAGACAAGGAGAGTCCCCAGGACCAAAGAACCAGTAGCCCTTCTCCCCATATCTCAGTGACCCCCCCGCCACACACACACACACACACACACACACACACACACACACACACACACTTCCGATGGCCTGGGCAGCCTGCAGAGTCCTTGTCATGGGTGAGTCAAGGCTGGCAACTGACCTTGGTTGTGCTCAGGGGATGATGCTCTTGTGTGGCCCCTCCTCTCAGTGTCCCCCCTCTGCCATGTCCCCCTGCTCACCTGACCCCCAGACTCAGCATGGAAACCAAGACGTAGTTGGCCAGGCCATTCACACAGTTGCCCATGACGCTGCTGAGGACTTGGGGCCAGATGATGCCCTGAAATCAGTGGAAACTGGCCTTGCTCCAGGACGTGGGCAGGCTGAGGCTGGGCTGAGGCTCAGGGAGCTGCAGACTTGGGCCCAGGTCCCTCCCTCTAGAACAGGGTGTGCACAGGGGGAGCGCACCCCTCTAGTCAGGGACCCATACCTGATTTTGCAAATACTTTGCCAGCAGGCCATAAAGAAAAATTGCCTGTGGGGAAAAAAAACAAGCAAACAAAATCACATGACACACTGGAGTGAAAACACACAAAACACCAGTTCAACATGGATAGATGCTGCTTAGACGCCTGAGTTCGTTCCGGACCCCCTGGTGGGCGGAGCCTGCACCTGCCTCTCTCAACTGTTCCTTAGCACCCCCTTCTCTTCTGTGGAGCTCAGTGATGGGGTTACACCACAGAGCTCAAGTATTGCCTCTGCTTGTATGAGCTGTGTGACTTGGGGAAAAATATTTAGCCTTTCTGGGCTTCAGTTTTCTAATCTATGTAATAAGTGCCCATATGCCAACATGACTGAGTATCACAGGCAGGAGACCCTTGGTGCCCCCTCAAATCCACTGTAGTGCAGCTGAGAGTAGCCTCTATAAAATGTAATAAAAGGGTGCAGGGGAGATAGTTCAGGGGTCAGAGGTACTCTTGGCTATTCTGGGGCCCTTTATATGCATGAGGAGACCTAATTTTGATCCACAGAATGGACAGGAAGGGTCCCAGAAACTCTCAACTACTGCTTAGCAATGCATATAATAATGTGTGTATATTTAGTGTTTGCATATAAAAATGCAATCAAAGTTAATGTTTTACAATTGCAGTGTGTTTGCAAAACAGCATTTGATGTATTCAAGCATTCCAAGCTTTAGGGAAGCATAAAGTGTGTTTCCTTAGGCTTTATTGTTATTTTTGATACTGTTTTATTGGCAGTTAAGCTGTATCACAACCTGTCATGGATGGGATGTGCTTTATCTGATAAAGGAGTGCCGTGTTGTACTCTTTCAAGGGAGGCTTTTCCTCGCCCTGGCTCATGGTCCTGTTGGATAGGCTATCATCACCTTGCTTTGAAAAGCCAAAGTAGGGACCTTACGGTGGAGAAAGATCAAACTTTCCATGGGATTTCCAAGATCTGGAAGAAATTTGGAGCTGGTTCTCTCACAAAGGGGTCATGGCCCCAAGTCTCAGACAGGCCAGCATGGATGGGCCTCTCCCTCCAGGCCTGGCTGAGGGAGCCTGTTCCCTTCCCAGCAGCCCTGCAGCAATGTGTCAGGAGGACAGAGCAGGCAGAGAAGGGGCTCACACTGGCCGGCGCCTTCCCAGCGGGACGTGTTGGAAGGGTCTGAGTCCTAGCAAGAAGCTGATGGTATTTGCAAGGGGAAAGGCTGGTCACAGTACAAATCATGCACACTGGCCCATTCCAAACTGTGTGTGTATGTGAATACACACATTCAGGAATGGAAACTATCCTGGAGGGAAATACCACCTTATGTTCTCTCTGGGTGAAGGGATTAAGGATATTTGAATCTTTCTTCCTATGCTTTCTGCATTTTCACCCACAAACCGTTTTCGAATGAGAAAAAATATGTTCTGTTACTTTCTAAACACTTGCCCATCCCAAACGGGCATGACGGTGTTTCCGCTGCTGGCCCCGCAGTCACCACCATGGCACTGCTTCCCCATTAGAGGGTGGGAGACAGCAAAAGCCAGAATTTAAAGGGAATGTAAGACACTTCCCCCAAGCTCAGCAGATAGGGCACTTACCGGAAGCGCAGGGATGAAGATCAGCACGTACTCCTGGCTCAACCTGCAAGAGAGCCGGGGGCTCTGAGCTGGCCAGGCTGGAGCCTTGGAGACTAGGGGCAACCAGGGCCCCGCAAGTTTGAAGTGCAGCTTTACTGGTCATAGTAGACCTTGCCCAGGACAAGAAAAACCTGAGCCAGGGGTGCTGCTAGCAGACGCTATGGAGGTACCAGCAACAAGAACTCAGGAAGCTGGCTGGGATTTAGTTACCCTGTTCCTAGGCATTTACTCTAAGGTACAAAATCTATTTATCCAAAAATACAAAATCAGTATTATATACTCAAAGAAATACTCATGTGTTCACTACAGTGCTTCTTTATAATAGTCAACACTTGGAAACCATCTCTGTGGCCTTGGATGGGTGAGTAGATGCAGATGTGGTGGAATCCCACTCAACATAAAAGACGATGACAGGGGCCAGCAGGAGACTGGATCACATGTTGACATGCTGAGACTCGGGTTTATACCCATGCCGCATGGTCCCCTGAGCACACCAGAAGCAATGACCTTGCACTAAGCTAGAACTCCTGAGGACCACTTGGTGTGATTCACAAAATCAAGCACTGGGGCTGTAGCGATAGTACAGTGGGGAGGGCATTTGCCTTGCATGCGGCCAACCGGGGTTCAATTCCCAGCATCCCATATGGTCCCCCAAGCACCGCCAGGAGTAATTCCTGAGTGCAGAGCCAGGAGTAACCCCTGTACGTAGCTGGGTGCGACCCAAAAAGAAAAAAAAATCAAGCACCAAAAACCGTTACATCCTGCTGTTTGCAGTAATACAGATGGATGGACCTAAAGGACTTTATGCTAAGTGGAATAGTCAGATGGATAAACACCTATGATTTCACTCACGGTTCAATGGAAATATTAAATAAATGAATGAACTAAATAAAACTAAAAATACCTTTTAAACCCAAAGACCAATAGTGGTCACCAGAAAGGCAGGGGAAAGAAGATGTGCTAATTGGGCAAAAGGGGTCTGTTGTGGTCTGGGAATGTGACTTGGTAGGTGCTCTGCAAGGATGAGCCCCTGGGTTCAATCCCAGCTGTACAAAAGAGAGTTCAAGCAGTGCAGTGAAGGCTAGATTTGGACTTATTCCTATCATGTATGTACAGATTGTCATGGGGGTGGGTGGACACCGAGTGCTCAGGACTTGTCCTGGCTCTGCACTTGGGATCTCTCCTGGCACTTCTCAGGGATTATATGTGGTGCAGAGATCAAAACTGGGTCTACCACATGCAAGACAAGTGCCCTACCCACTGTGCTATCCCTCCATGTTGGCTTTGAATGATGTATACTTGGAATTTATGTAACACTGTAGCACTGTCCTCCCATTCATCAATTTGCTCAAGCGGGCACCAGTAACGTCTCCATTGTGAGACTTGTTACTTTTTTTTGGCATATTGAATATGCCAAGGGAAGCTTGCCAGACTCTACCATGTGGGCAGGATACTTTCAGCTTGTAGGGCTCTCCAAGAGGGACAGAGGAATCGAACCTGGGTCGGCCACAAGAAAGGCAAATACCCTACCCGCTGTGCTATTGCTCCAGCCCTGGAATTTATATAATGTTAAAAATTAAACAATCTTAACTCAATGAAAAAAATAAGTTTAAAGAAGCTGCTTGGAAGGTATCTAACCAATGTTGGACTCTTGACTAGAGAACTTAAATTCTGGGTAACATGCAGTTTGTTTTGGGATAGTACAGTGGGTCAGGCTCTTCCCTTGCTTCAGCCGATCTGGGTTCAGTCCCTGACATGGCATATGGGCCCCTGAGTCCTGCAGGAGTGATCCCTGAGCACAGAGAGCAGAGTAAGCCCTGAGCACTGCCAGGTGTGGCCCACAAACAAAACAAAACAAAACAAAACAAAAAAGGAAAGAAAGAATCAAGTGAAATATATGATATAGAAAAATTAACCAGTTGTCTTATTGAAAAGGCATTTCTAAATATACCATTAAACTTAATTTTTCAGAAATATAATCCCTTTTCTTTCTCTTTCTGGAATGTGACCTCTGGACCTGTGAAGTAGCTTTGAAGCCCTGCCCTGCGTGGGGCAAAGGCCAATCAAATGCAGATCTCCCTCTCCTCTGAGGGATCTGAGAGTGACTTTTATTTTTAATTTTTTAAATTTTAAATTTTTTTAAATTTTTAATTTTTTTTATAAAGTTGTTCACCATAATTGATTACATTCAGTATTTCAACACCAGTCCCACCGCTATTATTTCGAAGTTTCCCACCACCAGCTCATGCCTGCCCCACAGGCAGATGCTAGATAGTTTATTTTATATTGCTTGTTACGACTAGTCTAAGATGTCTGTAAGGGTCTGTCTCACAGTGATTTTTGCTGTTGATTTTTGAGTCACACTTGGCACTGCTCGGGTGCTCAAGGTCACGCCTGGCTCAGCACTCCTGGGGGGCTCAGGGGATCATATGTGGTAACAGGAACTGAACCCGTGTCCACTGCATGCAAGACAAGCTCCCTGCCCACTGTTCCGTCGCTCAGCCTGGAGAGAGCCTCCCTCCCTCACTTCTCAGGGGGACCCAGGAGGTACCTGGACACATCCGGGTCCTGTCTGAAGAGGAGCAGGAGCTGCTCGGTGTTGATGAAGAGTGCCCAGCAGGGGAAGCAGCAGAGCAGCAGCATGAGCACCCCTCTCTGCAGGATGACCCCCACGTGCTTCTTGTTGGGGCCGCCATAGCTCTGCAAAACAGCAAGCTGGTCAGGGCCCCCAGGTTGTGTGGTCACTCCCCACTCCTGTGTCTAGCACCTTCTCTCTGCCTCTGGGGAGTCCAGCCAGCACCCTGACCCTGCAGCTGTCAGTCAGCCCTTCCAGAACAACATACAGAAACAGCTCTGTTCTCTGTCCCAGCTGCAGCCAGTTCCCAGGTCCACCAGACCACCTGCAGCCAAGTGACAGTCACCCCTCGCACAGCTCCCTGTCCGCAGAAGATGAGTCCCTTTTGGACTGCAGACCCCAAGAATGAGAAGTCCATAAATGCACTCTTTCTGACACGAAGGCCTGTGTGGCACACCTAAATTAGTCCGTGGATTTGGCTTCCAACAGCACAGCACCGGTTCTTCATTGGGTGAGGCTGAGCCCCCAGACCCGTTTAGCAGCTCCCACACCCCAGACAGGGCCCCAGAGCAGGCAGCATCGAGTGAAGGGTGCTGTCCTGCCATGCTGGAAGTCCAAGATCCACCTACCTGGGACATCAAGGTGTCACAGGCCGAGGCCAAGCCGAACCCCACAGACACTCCACAGACATTGACAAACTGGATAGGAGAGGAAAAAGGACAGAAGTGGGGCAAACACAGAGGCAGGCTCCAGAGCAGCAACTTCTCTGGGGGACCCTCACTCCCAGACCGCCCTACCAGCGCCCCAGGTGCTGCTGATCCCACCACCCTTTCTGCTGTGGTGCTGCCCTCATGCCAGGACGTCCCTGCACAGATGCCGGGAACTCACAGCCACCGAGAGGGTCACCGCGGCCAGCTCCACAGTCCCCAGGCGCCCGCAGAACACTGAGCTCACCACGAAGATCATGAAGTTCAGCAGCTGGAATAGGAACTGGGGGCGGCGGGGTCACCACACCCGGCCCACACCAGAAACAAGCTCTCCCAGGAGACTGGACAGTTGAGGATGGCCCGTCCTGCCTGATCTCTGACCCAGCCCACGGGGCAGAGACTTTGAGAAACCTGTGAATCGGGTGGTAGGGGTCTGGCCAACCCCGGCTAATGTCTATGTCACCAAAAGCAGAACCCAAACTCCACCCGCTCCTCCTGCGCTGGCTGTGCAGGCCGCGTTCTCTGACGGTCCATCCCAACTGCCACTCGGGAAGCACAGATGTGCAAATGTCCCTTGCCATTTCCCCAGGGGACATGAGCATGGCAGAGGCTTCCTACCAGGACCCTGAGACGCTCACTCAGCAGGCTCCTCCTCACGGCTCCTTCCCCAGCCCCCTGCCCTCTGAGCAAGGCTTCATCAACCCAGCACTAGCCCGCAGCTGCCCTCTCTGTCCCCTACTCCTGGGGGGGGGTGCCCCAGTTCTGCGGGTGTTGTAACCCCCCCACACGCCCCCATGCTGTGTCTGAGCAGTGACAGCATCCACCCCACCTCCTTACCAGGGGTCCTGAAAGAACAAAGAGTGTCCTGGCCTCAGCTGCAAAGCCGGCAGGAAGCAGCCTCTGCAAAGCAGGGCAGTAGCCCCCCTGGCGCTGGGGGACCCTGTCCTGGAGGTTGTCCATTCCACCCAGCTGTGGCCGCTGCACAGCCGCAGCCCAGGGCACCCCTCAGCCTGGCTAATGTGTAAGGGGGGCGGGCCTGCAGCTTAGAGGTGCTGCCTCGGGCCCTCAGCTTTGTCTCAGTCCAGAGCCTCCGGCGCCCCAGTTGCGGGCTGAGGTCATGGGTGCTCTAAGCCTGCTCCCCACCAGGTCACCGCCAAACCCCTGAGGAGTGGCTTGGGTGCTGCAGAGGGTCTTGGGCAGGAGGGGGTCCCCACTACCTCCACTTCACCAGGGAGGGGTGGGCAGAGGGGCTTTGGAAGGAAGGAGGATACTTGGAAGCAGCTCTGAACCTGCCCTCTGCCTGCTTTCTCTTTTGGTGGCTTCCTCGATACCCTGCTGAGGTCAGTGGCTGCACCCTCCGATCCCCTCCCCGCCCTCTACCAGACCCCCATTGTAATCCCCACCTCCCTGAGCCAGGTTGGGATGGGAGTGGGGAGCATGAGCCAGTGGAGGGGGCAGCAGGAAGAGCCACAGGCCTTCCAAAGAAAACTGGGCCTCCACTCCCCAAAGTGTGGGATGTAGAGTGTCTACACAAGCCCAAAGTTCCTGGGGGCAGGGAGTTTGGACTTAGGTCAGTCCCCCACACTCGCTGACCCCTGCTCCACACACAACCTTTTTTACTTGCCTAGGGGTTGGAGTGATAGCACAGTGGTAGGGCATTTGCCTTACACGAGGCCGGCCCAGCCGACCCGAGTTCAATTCCTCCACCCCTCTCTGGAGAGCCCGGCAAGCTGCCGAGAGCATCTCGCCCGCACGGCAAAGCCTGGCAAGCTACCTGTGATGTATTCGATATGCCAGACACAGTAACAACGAGTCTCACAATGGAGACGTTACTGGGCCCGCTCAAGCAAATCGAGGAGCAATGGGAGGACAGTTTTGCTACAGTGCCACAGGTTTGCATACAGGGTTGAAGAGAAGTCTTCTCTTCCCTCCCTCTGTCCAGCTCCTTAGACAGCTCCTTGCTATTCTATCCCTCTGACTCCTACTAGTAAATGCAACTCCCACCAACAAAGGGGAAAGAAAGGACAGTTTATCACTATCCAAATATATATTAAAAGGGAGGGATACAGATTAATTAAAAGTTGCATCGCTCTAGGAACTGTAGAGATAGTGCAGTGTGTAGGGTCTTTGCCTTGCATGTGTCTGATACCGATTCCATCCCTGGAACCATATATGGTCCCCTAGCCGTGCCAGGAATGATCCCTGAGCACAGCCAGGTGTGGCCTTCCCCTTCCAAAAAAGTTGCATCACTTTATTATGACAGGCCAATGCTAAGAATTACAACATCACATCTCCTTTGCTTTGTCCATAGTTTTTGGCTGGTTGGTTGACTGGTGTTTAGTTTGGGAGCTGCTCTTGGGTCAGTGCTCCAAGGGACTCACTCCTGGCTATGCTTTGGGCATCTGTGGAGCCAGGAGTAAGCCCAGCCCTTCCATATGCCCAGCACAGTTCCTTGTCTTTGAGCAATCTCCTTTCCTCTTCCAAGTTCTTATCTTTGGCCGAGTCTCAGCTGGCTTGGCTTCCTCTTCAGAAGAAGAAAATCTTCACCCGGAAGATCTGTGCCTCACTGGCGTCCTGCTGAGAGTCTGCACTCCCGCAGGGCCTGTGGTTGGACCTGGCCCCAGGCAGTGCCCATTGCCTCACTTTCCTCTCTGTGACAAGTGCCCTGGTCAGAGGCTCTGTGGGGTGAGAGTCCTCGTGCATGGGAGGCATTCACTAACTCTGTGGCACAGGCAGCAGAGCCCATCTCTGCCCACTGCGAGCACATCTTTCAGATGAGCGGGTGCTGGGTATCTCCAAAATCCATTCCCAGGGTCAGAGAGCTAGTCAGAGGTTAGGGCACTTGCGTGTGGCTGACCCAGTACAATCCACAGCCCCACAAATACTTCTCTGATCACTACTAGGGGGTCACTCCTGAGCACAGAGCTTGAAATTGCTCCTGAGCACTTAGGTGTACCCTTACCCCCCCAAAAAAATATTCCCACAAATATTCCACAGATTGTTTGTCACTGTCACTATCCTCCCGTTGTTCATCGATTTGCTCAAGGAGGCCCAGTAACGTCTCCATTTTGAGACTTGTTACTGTGTTTGGCATATTGAATGTGTCACGGGTAGCTTGCCAGGCTTTGCCGTGTGGGCAAGATACTCTCGGTAGCTTGCTGGGCTCTCCAAGAGGGGCGGAGGAATGAACCCGGCTCTGCTAGGCTGGCTGCGCACAAGGCAAACGCCCTACCACTGTGCTATCGCTCTTATCATGTGAAATTAGTGAGTTCCTAGATTTCCTTATGGGTGAAGTACTGTCTCCCTTCCTCATGATCTTAGTCTTCAGGACCCTATCAGGACAAGGGGATGGTTTTCTACAGGCTTTAGTCCACTGGCCAGTGAACTGCTTCCTCCAGATGTGGGGTCCAAGATCTTCAATCCCCTAAACTCTCCCACATATGAATTTTCAAATGATGCAACCTTTTCTGCTGAAAAATACTTTTTCACTGTGTGGATTACAGACTCAGCCAGTGCTGCAGTTGACAGTCTGCAGATCCTGTCCCCAGCTTTGGTCTTTGGGAACTTGGGCTTAGAAGACTGCTTTGATCCTTGGAGCAGAGCCGCAGCTAAACCCTAAGCACATTCCACAGGTAAGAGCACGGATGTCAGTGTGTCACTCTACATGCACTTGCCCAACGCAAACCAGCTAGAGGTGGCACATCAAGTGAAAGATCACCAGAAAGTTAGCTAGACCACCAAAAACCGGGAAACTTGCAGAAATCAGGGATAAAAAGGGTGTGAGAGGGCTGGAGCAATAGTGCAGCTGGTAGGGTGTTTGCCTTGCAAGCAGCTGACCGGGGCTCAATTCGCAGCATCCAATATGGTCCTCTGAGCACTGCCAGGAGTTATTCCTGAGTGCAGAGCCAGGAGTAACCCCTGAGCATCTCTGGGTATGATTGCCAAAAAAAAAAAAAAAAAGAAAGTAAATGTTCAAAATTCTCATTAGAAGGAAAACATCAGAATGATCACTTTGCAATATGTACAAATCCCCATCTTTGTTTTGCTTTTTGGGTCACACTGAGAATGCTTAGGGGTGACTCCTGGCTCTGCACTCAGTAATCACTCTTGAAGGTGCTTGGGGGACCCTATGGGATGCCGGGGATCGAGCCTGACTCATTCGTCTCCAAGGCAAGTGCCCTACCCAATGTTCTCTGGCTCTGGTCCCCCCCCCAATCCATCTGTATATGTGCCTCAAATGAATCTGCTAGACTATCGCCCTGTTTTTTCATCTCAAGAGAAAGTGAGGAGCTGGATCAAGAGCACAGCTGGGTAGGGCGTTTGCCTTGCACGTTGCCAACCCGGGTTGGATTCCCAGTATCCCCTAGAGTCCCCCAAGCACCACCAGGAGTAATTCCTGAGTGCAAAGCCAGGAGCAACCCCTGTCATCACCAGATGTGCCCCAAAAAGAAGCACTGTAGCACAGTCCTCTGGTTGTTCATCAATTTGCTCGAGCAGACACCAGTAACGTCTCCATTGTGAGACTTTGTTGTTACTGTTTTTGGCATATCATATATGCCACGGGAAGCTTGCCAGGTTTTGCTGTGCAGGTGGGATACTCTTGGTAGATTTCCGGGTTCTCTGAGGGGGACAGAGGAATCGAACCTGGGTTGGCTGCATGCAAACCAGACGTCCTACCAGCTGTACTATCTCTCCAGCAACCAAAAAAGTGTGTGTGTGGGGGGGGGAAGGGCGTGTAACAATGGAAGGGGTCGCTCTCCCACTAGAGGGGATGGCCCTGACTGGTCAGCTTTCTCAGCTTTCTGAGCTTTCTGAACTCAACGCTTGCTTGACTTGTGCCAAATAAAACTTTATACTACAAAGCTCATTGCTTTGTGTGGTCTTTCGGATATCGGACCCTAACAAAAACAACTGCCATTTGTGTCATGGCTGTGTACTTCCCAGGATCATCAGGGTATCTTTGTGGGGAGAGGGGGCAATTATTTCCCATACCCTGGTGTCAGGGGGCCCTCGTCACCTGCCCTCGCCCGGGCTGGCAGCTCCCTAGGTTGGCAGTGGCTGTGCCCAGCTGGCGTGTTCTCTTCTGAGGCTGTCGCAGGGCGAGTCTGAGTGCTCATTCACGGGGTCCTCCAGCAGCTAGGGCCTCTTGCGGTGCCCTCCGGGCCCGATGGCAGTGGTTCAGGAGTGCGGGGGGAAGCTGCGTTCATGTGGAGACGGGCCTGGGGATCCCAGGCACTATCTGCTGGCAGAGTTAGCACCCACGCAGGGTCTCCGCTTCTGCTGTCCCAGGCTGCATCTCCTGCTTCCCCATTCCCAGCCCCATCCCTTGGTTCTGAGTCGGGAAGGGCAGAGAGTCCTCTACACTGATTGGGACACCGTGGGTATTTCACAGAGAGGTTCCAAAACTACGGGTCTCGAGGTGGGGGAGGGAGTGGAGTCTCTCAGGCACCTCCTGTGAGGATTGAAAGAAGCTTCCAGTGTATGACTGATCCCCAACCAGGAATAGCTTGGTAACTGTGTATCTCACAGGAACTCAATAAAAAATAAATAAAAAAAATAAAAACAAAGAGGCTTCCACCAAGGAGCTGCGTCCTTAGCGTGTGCTCAGAGCCGACGGGCCAGGCTTGGTGAAGGTGCAGGTGCAGTGCGGCTGGCGTCTGGTGGCTGTCTCCAGCCCCCTTTGCTGACCGGGGAGCACACATCCCTCCTCGGCCAGGCCTCGGGGAGCCTTCCTCGCCTGGTCATGCTTCCCTAGCACCCAGGCCACTGCACTTGCCCTTTGGCCACCCTGAACTTGCAACCAGAGACCAGAGAGCCGAGGTCTCTGTCTCCTCCCCCTCACACCCCGTGACTGAGACTATGAAACACTCAGTTCTCCACGGGGAGCCTGAGGACTCTGGCCTCCCCGGCGTCCTGGCCACACACACCATTGAGTCAAAGGGCAGCTGGGCAGAAGCCAG